GTCTGAGGCTTGTCCTACTACAAGCTGAGATCGCGCCACTGCACTCCAGCCTGAGCAACAGAGTGAGACTCTGTCTCAGAAAAGAAAAAAACAACAACAAAAAAACTATTTCACTGGAGAAGTTATAAAACTGTTAAATAAGGTATTACAGATACAATAGTATTGAGAAAATCGAACTAAATTGACAGGATTGCTTTTGTAATTGCAGATTGATGACAGTCAGATTCACTGAGAGTGAAAAACTGTGCTGGCTATTATAAAATTGTCATTGGATGGCTTATGTACCAGATAATGGAACCTCATGTGTGTTCTGTTACTGAAGTTTATATGACTAAATGCAGCAAGGCTTTAATGCATTATGGCGAAGCATATTTTCACCAGGTAAACAACGCTTTTATGGTCTACTGACTGAGGACAGTAAACCCTTTATAATCTTACTGAGTCTGCTTGCCATCTATACTGCAAGACTTCAGGACCCCGAACCTTGTGTTGATAACCTCACAACTGAGAAGAGGCCCTCCGAACTCTTGCAATTGTATGCCCATTGGAGATTTTTTTTTTTTTTGAGATGGAGTCTAGCTGTGTTGGCCAGGCTGGAGTGCAGTGACTCGATCTCGGCTCACTGCAAACTCCGCCTCCTGGGTTCTGCAAGCGCCGCCTGCTGGATTCACGCCATTCTCCTGCCTCAGCCTCACTAGTAGCTGGGGCTACAGGCGCCCACCACGACGCCCGGCTAATTGTTTTGTATTTTTAGTATAGACGGTGTTTCACCGTGTTAGCCAGGATGGTCTCAATCTTCTGACCTCATGATCCAGCCGCTCGGTCTCCCAAAGTGCTGGGATTACAAGTGTGAGCCACCGCGCCCGGCCAGAGATCTTAAGGTTAAGTTAAACGGGGAAGTTTCTCTTGAAAAGCAGATGGCAGCATTGATGTAGATCGCTTTCTTCACAAGATGAAAAATCAAGACATCTCTGCTATCATGACACTCTTAGATTACTGTTTTTTTCTTATGGGTCTGCAAACAACGGAAATAAAAAGGGGCCTCTTGTGTGCACTCATGGGGTACATTTTTATATGTAGATTTTGCAGCCTACATTATATATGAACCAACTTATGCCTTCATAAGTAAAAGATGAAGGGCCAATGAGGGTGAGAAATTTTAATGGGACATATGTTGCCTCATAATATCAGAAACAGAATATTGTTTCATTGCCGTTAACCTAATTCATAAGTTAAAGAGAACTTATTCAAAATAGATTATAGAGCATTGCCGGGAGACCATTACTCTTCTGAATGACTATCATTTGTTAGGTCTTTTTGTTCCCCATGGTTTACAATAAATGAGGCAGTGGTTAGAAATTTATTCCCCATAATAGGGCTTTATAGCATATTCTATTGTAAAGGCCACGGTTACACAATAGACTTTAATTTTTCTTACTAAAGTTGTGCAAAATAATAGAATTTCTCTAGATTAGTTACTGGATGAACAGAGAAGTATCTGTGCAGTTGCTAAAACTTGTAGTTGCATATGGAAAAATACATCGGGTATTACAGAGATTCAGTTGTAGGAGATTAATAAATAGGCTGCTTGGTTGAAATGAGGAGACCATTAATTTAGCTAATTATTTGACCTATTTAATGTTAGATGGTAGGGTTCATAAGACCCTGGCTAAAAAGCATACTTGAGGCCAGGCATGGTGGCTCACGCCTGTAGCACTTTGGGAAGCCGAGGTGGGCAGATCACGAGGTCAAGAGTTCGAGACCATCCTGGCCAACATGGTGAAACCCCCTCTCTCCTGAAAATACAAAAATTAGCTGGGCATGGTGGTTCTTGCGCCTGTAGTCCCAGCTACTCGGGAGGCCAAGGCAGGAGAATCGCTTGAACCAGGAGGCAGAGGTGGAGGTTGCAGGGAGCCGAGCTCGTGCCACTGCATTCCAGCTCTGCAAAAGAGCGAGATTCCGTCTCTAAAAAAAAAAAAAGCATACTTGAAGCTCTTGTTATCATCCTTCTTATAGTCAAAATAGTAGTCTCGCTACTGCAGTGTATTCTCTCAAAAGTTATAAATATTTGCATGCAGTTATCTCTAGAATGTCAAATGGTCTCTCTTTAACTGCAATCACAAAAACTCAAATGCATATGTGACCATGAGGACACCATAACCTATGAATGACCTGATAGGGACAAAAACTAAAAATAATGGAAACTGAGAGTGGCATTAAGACACTGAGTTTTGGTCATACTCTTACCTATGTGAGAACTTAACCAAAAGGGGGGGATTTTATAAACAAAATTATTGAAGGCCATCATTCTGGACTGAGCTTGTGCGTTAGGCCCAAAGAGACTAAACCAAACCAAATGGAGTCACTCGTGTTCATGTGACATAATCAAGCTGAAAATGTAAGGAAATAGGTAGATCCTAAAACAGGCCAGGTTTGGTTGTTCTTTTGAAAACAGCAGATTTCAACACAAGGAGGTCACCTCTACTGTAACCCTTAAAAAAATAATAATAACCTGAAGTCCTTGTTTCCACTTTACAAAAGCTACAGTTCGGCTATTTCACAGTGGGATTTGAGAATAAAGAAGTACGTTTTTGATGGTGACAGAATAATATCAATGTCTAAAGTTCTGGTCTATCTCTCAAAATTGAGAAGATGATCAAAAGGGAGAGACTGTTAAATTAATTATCCCTAAAGCTGCTCCCTTTTCTGTTTAACTTTGGTCACTAGGTTTTTTTAAACATAGTAAACTGAAACCTAACTGGATATATACATAGACTGTATTCCATTATTGTGCCAAAAATTGTGTTTTTGCCAATAAAAGGACATCAAGTGTTCAAATTATGTTTAAGGCAAATCCCAACCTGTAATCAATCTGGCTGTTTCTGTACCTCACTTCCATTTTCTGTATGTCACTTTGCTTTTTCCGTCTACAAATCTGTTCTCATCATGTGGCTTTGCTAGAGTCTCTCTGAGCCTACTCTGGATCCACCAGCTGCCCGATTTGCAAATCATTCTATGCTCTATTAAACTCTGTTAAATTTAATTTATGTAAAGTTTTAAAGTTTTTCTCTTTTAAAAGTTTTCAAATGTTTTGTTTTCTCTCTCTCTCTCTTTTTTTTTTCTTGAGACGGAGTTTCGCTCTTGTTGCCCAGGCTGGAGTGCAGTGGCATGATCTCGGCTCACTGCAACCTCAGCCTCCCAGGTTCAAGCGATTCTCCTGCCTCAGCCTCCTGGGTAGCTGGGATTACAGATATGTGCCATCATGCCTGGCTAATTTTGTATTTTTAGTAGAGACAGGGTTTCCCCATGTTGGTCAGGCTGATCTCGAACTCCTGACCTCAGGTGATCCACCCACCTCAGCCTCCCAAAGTGCTGGGATTACAGGTGTGAGGCACCGCACAGCCTAGTTTTCAAATATTTTCTCTTTTTTTTGAGATGGAGTCTCGCTCTGTTACCCAGGCTGGAGTGCAGTGGTGTGATCTCAGCTCACTGCAAGCTGCGCCTTCCGGATTCATGCCATTCTCCTGCCTCACCCTCCCAAGTAGCTGGGACTACAGGCACCCACCACCATGCATGGCTAATTTTTTGTATTTTTAGTAGAGACAGCTTTTCACCATGTTAGCCAGGATAGTCTCGATCTCCTGACCTTGTGATCTGCCTGTCTCGGCCTCCCAAAGTGCTGGGATTACAGGTGTGAGCCACAGTGCCTGGCTCAATTTTTTTTTTTTTTTTTTTTTTTTTTGAGACGGAGTCTCGCTCTGCCGCCCAGGCTGGAGTGCAGTGGCCGGATCTCAGCTCACTGCAAGCTCTGCCTCCCGGGTTCAGGCCATTCTCCTGACTCAGCCTCCCGGGTAGCTGGGACTACAGGCGCCCGCCGCCTCGCCCGGCTAGTTTTTATTTTTGTATTTTTTTTTTTTTAGTAGAGACGGGGTTTCACCGTGTTAGCCAGGATGGTCTCGATCTCCTGACCTCGTGATCCGCCCGTCTCGGCCTCCCAAAGTGCTGGGATTACAGGCTTGAGCCACCGCGCCCAGCCTGAGCCACCGTGCCCGGCCTCAAATATTTTCTATGATAAAAATAAATAATGTGCTGTTGGACTTTGATTTTCTAAACTCATCCCTCAGCTATTTCCTCAAATTATTCTGTCTTCAAAATGCTTATCCAATTTTTATTTTATTTATTTATTTATTTTTTTGAGACAGAGTCTCATTTTACCTCCCAGTGTGGATAGCAGTGGTGCAGCCAATCATGGCTTACTGCAGCCTTGACCTTCCAGGCTCAAGCAGTCCTCCTGCCTCTGCCACCTAAGTATTGGGACTACAGGCATGCACCACCATGGCTGGCTAATTATTTTCTTTCTTTTTTTTTTTTTTTTTGAGACAGAGTCTGGCTCTGTCGTCCAGGCTGGAGTGCGGTGGCCGGATCTCAGCTCACTGCAAGCTCCGCCTCCCGGGTTTACGCCATTCTCCTGCCTCAGCCACCCGAGTAGCTGGGACTACAGGCGCCTGCCACTTCGCCCGGCTAGTTTTTTGTATTTTTTTAGTAGAGACAGGGTTTCACCGTGTTAGCCAGGATGGTCTCGATCTTCTGACCTCGTGATTCGCCCGTCTCGGCCTCCCAAAGTGCTGGGATTACAGGCTTGAGCCACCGCGCCCGGCATTTTTTTCATTTTTTTTCATGGAAACAAAATCTTATTATGTTGCCCAGGCTGCACCGGAACTCCCGAGTTCAAATTCTCCCATCTGAGCCACCCAAAGTGCTAGGAATACAGGTCTGAGCCACCATGTTTGCAAAATGGTAGCAATTTTTCATCCCTCCTGTATCCATGCCCAATGCCAGATGCTTTTACAGTTGTTTCCATCAAGATTCAGAATCTGTTTTCCAAACCCTAGATCAGCCTGGCCTTATTTGCTTAGGGCAGTAGAAACCTGTGAACATGGCAATGGGCTAGTTTGGGGCCTAGGCTCAAATGGTCTTGAATGCTTCTGTTTTTCTTTTAGAATGTTGACATCGCCTTGGAAAAAATCCCATGTTGGCCAGCTGGAAAATAAGATATCATGGGGAGGAGAAGCAAGGTGTCCCTGTTGACAACCCCACAAGCAGAACATCACCCCCAGAAGCACAGCTGCCTAGTCAACGAGCAGCTGACGACACATGTCTGAAGGAGCTCAGCTGAAACCAGAAGAATGGCCCCACTGAGCCCAGCCTAAATGGCTGACCATCTCAATTATGAACTAATAAGTTTTGGATGATTTGTTATGCTGCAATAGCTAACTAATACATGCACTCACTGCAGATAGGATGCCAGGATTCAATGACAGGTTGATTACTAGTTATCTTCTAACAGTGGGCACCCTATAGGTACTGATTTTTTCCCCTGATTTAAAGTTGGGTGACTTGTAAGAGAATGTTGAGTAATGCAGAAATACAGGTAGACATGTATGTATGTGATTGGTGCTTATACCCACACACCCTCCACACCACAGGAAAAAACAGATAACCATACTCTGACAATTAGGGCCAAGGCCAAATAGCAAAATAAGCTTGCTTTTAATCTATCTTCTCCATATCTAAGCATTGGAGGTCAAGCGTGTGGACAGAATTGAAGACACAGAGTTTTTTATCCTGTGACCCCAACATCCTTTGTTCACTGTCTGATCTCTGGAAGAAAAGTGGACAACAGGTGGCCAGCAGTGGTCTACGTGCAGTTATTTTATTCCTGCTGCCACCTGCTCTTTTGATGGCCACTATCTATTCCACCCTTAGAACTGAAGAAAGATGTTGGTAGGGAGAGGCTCTGCCTTCACTTCTGGCAGAAAAGGAATGTTCAGTTCATTCACCCCCCTGACATCAGAGCTGCACTTCAATGTGGCAGCTATTGGCCATGTGTGCCTCCTGAGTGACTGGAATGTGGCTGGTCTGAACTGTGATGTGCTAGAAAGGTAATATACAGAGTTAGTTTCAAATGTTTATATACATTATTAATAATTACACATTCCTCACACATTACAATGATAATATTATGGACATATTGGGTTAATTAAATTGTTACAATCGATTCAACCTGTTCCTTGTTTCTTTTTCAAGTTTGTCTTCTAGAAAATTTAAGATTCACATGTGGCCCACATTTTATTTCAGGAGATTACCTCCTTTTTAAAATCTCAGGCTGCCTGTTCAAAGGACCGGAGCCAGGAAGGTCATAAAATCTGAAATTTTAAAATAATTATTGTTACATTCTTTTCATTTTTGAATAGCCACTATATATATATATATGTGTGTGTGTGTGTGTATACGTGTGTGTGTGTATATATATATATATATATGTGGTTTTTTTTTTTTTTTTTTTTTTTTACACAGAGCTTTGCTCTTGTTGCCCAGGCTGGAGTGCAATGGTACAATCTCCGCTCACCGCAACCTCCGCCTCCCAGGTTCAAGCGGTTCTCCTGCCTCAGCCTCCCGAGTACCTGGAATAATAGGCATGGGCCACCACGCCCGCCTAATTTTGTATTTTTTGTAAGGACTGGGTTTCTCCATGTTGGTCAGGCTGGTCTCCAACTCCCGACCTCAGGTGATCTGCCCCCCAGCCCTTCCAAAGTGTTGGGATTACCGGCGTGAGCCACCGCGCCCGGCCCCATATATTATTTATAAGTGCATATGACCTTATATACAAGGTTAAATGCAAATAACCTCTGCGGTGGGCCTGGCTCAGCTCGGCGAGGAAGCCCTGTCAGAGAAGGATGCAGCCTAGGCTGTCACTCTTCATTCAGCCCGGCATCTCATCACATCTTCCAGTCAATCAGGACCTGAGGGGGCGGGTATTTAAATGTTATCCAATCAGAGGCGCCGGGCTGGGAACCGTCCAATCAGGCACGCAGGTGAATCCGACAGGGCGGCTTCCGGGTTTGGCGGGGCCTTTGTCTCTCGCTGTGGCCTGAGCTCCAGGTCTCGCCTTCACTGCTCTGTGTCCTCTCCTCCTAGAGGTCCAGGCTCTGTGGCCCTGTGACCTGCAGGTATTGGGAGAGCTACAACTAAGACGCCAGGAACACCTGGAAGCCTAGAAATGGTGAGAGTGCCGGGTCCGACATTCCGAGAGGGGAGGGGCTGGTTGGAACCGGTGGAACGTGGCTGTGGCGGGACTCAGGCCTCTCCGCAGTCAGCTCCACAATCTGCGCCCCGAGTTCTCTTGCCCAGCTCGGCGTCGGTACCCATCAGCCATAAGATGGCGGCTGCGCTGACAGCCGGGCCCCCGCACGTCCTGTCTCTTCCTTGCGCAGTGACTGTGCCCTGGCCTTGAGCCCTCTCTGGGCAGCTCTGCTTCCGCAGCGCAGCGTCTTTCCCAGACTGTGGGGGGACCACGGGAGGAGCCTCACTGGAGAATCCTGACTTGGGGTGCGAGTTCATGAATGGAAAGAACTTTGGTCCTGGGTTCCTAGTTCCTCTTTTCTCCGATTAAAAATGTACAGGCCGGGCGGGGTGGCTCACGCCTGTAATCCCAGCACTTTGGGAGGCCGAGGCGGTCGCATCACGAAGTCAGGAGTTCAAGACCAGCCCGGCCAGCATAGTGAAACCCCGTCTTTACTAAAAATACAAAAATTTGCCGGGCATGGTGGCACACGCCTGTAGTCCCAGCTGCTTGGGAGGCTGAGGCAGGAGAATCACTTGAACCTGGGAGGTGGAGGTTGCAGTGAGCCGAGATCGCGCACTGCACTCCAGCCTGTGTAATGCAGCCTGTGTAACACGGAGCAAGACTCCGTGTCGGGGGGGAAAAATTGCGCAGAAGTCACCGCAAGAATATTTAAGAAATTAATCAAAGAGTGATTCAAAAACTGTATAGCACCCAGCTATGGTTTGTAATTTGTTTTTCATGGTGGGGCTTGAAGGAAAGACTTTTATAAGGTGCATGATGAAGAAAGCCAAATTCAGTAATTGGTTAGGTACAGTTGTGTAGTTTCTCAGTTTGTACAATAAAGGTGAAAATTTTCTGGTTATGTAATCGGAGCTTAATTGGCAGTATATAGTTGGTTAAGCCTGATTTTTATGTCTTTCAATGTAGTAATTTTCAAAACGATGCTCTTGAGTTTTATATATATATATATATATATATATATATATATTTTTTTTTTTTTTTTTTTTTTTTTTTTGAGATGGAGTCTCGCTCTAGTCGCCCAGGCTGGAGGAGTGTACTGGCACAATCTCGGCTCACTACAACTTCTGCCGCTGCCCGTGTTCAAGCTTCTCTTGCCTCAGCCTCTTGAGTAGCTAGGATTACAGGATTGTCTCAGGATGTTTTGGGGTCAAGGTTTTCCTTTAGAAATTGTATGGGGTGATGTGTCCTCAGCCACCCTTCAGTTTTTTCCTGGTCCTGAGTTTCAGTACTGTCTGGAGATAAACCAAGATATCTGCTGTGGTTATGTCAGCTAGAGTGTCTAGTGGATATCAGCTTCTGGGTTATTTTCTCCCATAGGAGAACCTGAAGTCTGGAGTGTATCCTCTCAAGGAAGCAAATGGATGCCCTGGGGCTGAGAGGAATCTTCTGGTGTACTCTTTTTATGAAAAGGTAACCCCTTGAGATGTTAAAATTGTCTTCACCCAACCCAGCTTTCATTTCTTGGAGACACATTGCTGGTCAACCAATCAGATTCTGGTATTGAGGGGAAAACAAATAATTTTGCCCCCTGGATTCTCTAAGGGGGCAGAAAAATAGTGAAATAAATATAGTGAAAGTGAAATAGTGGGAAAAAAGTGGAACATTTGTGACAGAAAAAATAGTATCCCAAAAGACAAAAGGAAAAAGAAAAACACTCACCCCAGTGAGATGGTGTAAGAACTTGCAAACTTAAATGCCCATGGGGCAGTCACTGGGGCATAGTGTGGTGTCTCCTGAATGGGTGGTTCTTGAACACATAAGTGAGCAGGAGTGGGTGGAAGACTCTCAAGTGATTGAATGGCCTGACTTGAAACATGAGTCAGACACATCTGGTTTTTTTTTTTTTTTTTTTTTTTGAGACGGAGTCTCGCTCTGTCACCCAGGCTGGAGTGCAGTGGCCGGATCTCAGCTCACTGCAAGCTCCGCCTCCCGGGTTTACGCCATTCTCCTGCCTCAGCCTCCCGAGTAGCTGGGACTACAGGCGCCCGCCACCTCGCCGGCTAGTTTTTTGTATTTTTTAGTAGAGACGGGGTTTCACCGCATTAGCCAGGATGGTCTCGATCTCCTGACCTCGTGATCCGCCCGTCTCGGCCTCCCAAAGTGCTGGGATTACAGGCTTGAGCCACCGCGCCCGGCCGACACATCTGTTTTTAATCAGCACTGCTACTCCCTGGGTTAGTCACCTTGAAAAGATTTGTTCACTTATTTTAACCTCAGTTTTCTTAGCTGTAAACTGTATTATATTAGTAGGGCTTGAAAGGTAGGAAAATATTTACCAAAGGCATAAAAGTGGTGGGTTTAAGAAAAAAATTGGTATCTAACAATATATTTCATTCATTAAAAATTCTCTATTCCCTTTTTTTTTCTCCCCAGGTGAGTTTAGAAATTTTCTCAGGTGTGTTTTTTATGGCTGGGTGATTTCAAACAGAATTCTAAGGCTCAGCTTTTAGAATGCTACCAAGGAAATGAGTAGGGAAAATCTCTATTCCATTTTTTTTTTTGTAGAAAATAAATACATTTCTATAAGAAAATGTGGTAGATAATTGGTGAGTTACGTAGATGCATGAAAATATCATTTCCTCTTTTTGCAGGGTAAATTTGTGACAGTGAATATCTCTGTTCAAACCCTTTTATCTTGATTTCCGAGTTTCATGCTAAATTTTATGAGATGAAACTTGGTACCACCTAGAAGTTTTCCCATATGACTAGTTGTTTACTAAATGATTCTTAATGGAATTAATAAAATAATGCATATATGAAAGAAATAGATACTTTTGCTTTTTTTATTGAGGTATAAATTGCAGACACCTTAAAATTTCCTTCCCTTATCTGAACACTGTGTTTGACTAATTTTGCTAGATTTTTCAAACACATATTTTCAAAAACCAAGTGAATAAGTCTAACATAGAAATTAAAGCTTGAGCCCAGTGACTCAGAGCTAAGGCTAATATTGAGCCTGCAAAAGGAGTTTATTACAGGCTCAGTTAGTTTTTTTCTGGGGAGCCTCCCCTGCAGATATCCCAGCCTGCTCACTCTACCTGAGGAAGAAGCTTTTCTGCTGAGAGAGGCTACAGAGTCCTGGAAAGGTGGGGACCCACAGGCAGATGCAGTTAAGGTTAAGATGGTAGGGGATTGGGAGGGTCTTACTGATGATACAGTTGTTACTGTTTGAAGGCAGTTTCTAGACTTTGTAATATATAACAAAGTTAGATTTATGTTAAAAATTTGAATTCCAAAGGACTATTGCAACAGGAAGAAATACCAAGTGTAAGAACTTTAAGGATTGCAAAGTTTAGGCAGACAAGGGCTTTCTTTCCTGGGGAGGAGCAAACAAAATTAGAAGTTGGAAGGGACTGGCAAATGAAGGGTGAAATAATCAGATTTTAGATCAGAGAATGTTTTACCCTGAAGTCAGCATGTTCTTGGGAGGGACATAAAATGGAGTTGTATATTGGCTCTGATTGAGGGTAGCTCCAAATTCAGGAGCCTGTGAAAAATTTTATTTAGACTACTGAAGACAAATTCAGCTGATTTTTTTTTTTTTGATTTAATAAAGTTTTATTTTTCCAAATGTACAATTGGTTGGACCTATTCATGCATCTTCACCAGCAGCTGAAGCATCTCCGCCCTTGGTATTTCTGGTGTAAATTACTTGAGCTCTGTGCTTTGAAACCAGTTTGATAAGTCCTTTACTAAGGAGCTCCTGAAGGGCTGCCCTGGCCAGGGAGCCTCGAATCTTCAGTCTCTCAGAGACTACAGCTGGGGTTATAAGTTTATAGTTGGGAACTTCCTTACAGAGTTTGTCGTAGGTAGCTTTGTCAAACAAGACTAAGTTATTGAGCTTGTCCCGAACTTTGCCTTTGGACCACTTCTTCTTTTTGGCCTTGCCCCCAGATTTGTTCACTGGGTCTTTGTCTTTCTTGGCCGACTTTCCGGCGTCCTTCTTCTTCTTGTCGTCCTTGGGCGGCATTGCGAAGCTCGGGGAGCAGCAGCAGACACCGCAGGCTTGCTAAGATGTCGGACAAAAAGCTGATTTTTTTTTTAATGAGAAAAAGAAAATGTGCAGAGTTCTTATCGGAAAGGGGTCACAATCCAAACCCCAAGAGAGGGTTTTTGGATTTTGCTCAAGAAAGAATTCAGGGTGAGTCTATAAAGTAAAAGCAAGTTTATTAGGAAACAGACGGAATAAAAGAATGGCTTACTCCATAGGCAGAGCAGCCCTGAGGGCTGCTGGTTGCCCGTTTTTGTGTTTATTTCTTGATTCTATGCTAAACAAGGGGTGGATTATTTTTGCCTTCCCAATTAGACAATGTAAAGTAATTTCCTGATGTTTCCATGATGTCTCCATGGCATTTGTAAACTGTCATGGCATTGGTGGGAGTGTAGCAGTGAGGACGACCAGAGGTCACTGTCATCCCATCTTGGTTCTGATGGGTTTTATCCACCTTCTTTACTGCAACCTATTTTATCACCCAGGTCTTTATAACCTGTATCTTGTGCTGAACTCTTATCCTGTGACTTAGAATGCCTCACCATCTGGGAGTACAGCCCCGTAGGTCTCAGCCTCATTTTACCCAGCCCCTGTTCAAAATGGATTTGCCCTGATTCATTTGAAATGATATGCCTCTGACATTTCTCCTTTTTTTTCTTTTTTTTAAATCTGAGATGGAGTCTCACTCTGTTGCCCAGGCTGGAGTGCAATGGCATCGTCTCGGCTCACTGCAACCTCCACCTACCGGGTTCAAGTATTTCTCCTGCCTCAGCCTCCCCAGTAGCTGGGATTATAGGCGCCTGCCACCATGCCCGGCTAATTTTTGTACTTTTTTTTTTTTTTTTTAGTCCAATCAGTTTACTCTGCTTTCTCCATCTCCTCCTCCCATTAGTCAGCCATTGGAACTGGGAAACCTCCTACTTTCCCCCTCTTTGCATTCTTTCCACAATTCATCTTGTCTTTCTGCAGCCATATCTTCTTAATAGACTGAAGATTCTGTCATTGAGAATAGGGTGATCCATAAACCTGGTCATCGCACTTTTTATGACACAGTGATGTGGGCCCCAGATCCATGGCATGGTTTTCTCTGGATGCACTCCTGGATCTAATTTTTGTATTTTTAGTAGAGACAGAGTTTTGCCATGTTGACCAGGATGTTCTCCATCTCTTGACCCCGTGACCCACCTGCCTCAGCCTCCCAAAGTGCTGGGATTACAGGCATGAGCCACCACGCCTGGCCGTAATCTCTGACTTCTTTTTTTTTTTTCTTGGGACTGAGTCTCACTCGGTTGCCCCAGCTGGAGTTCAATGGCTTGATCTCAGTTCACTGCAACCTCTGCTTCCCGGGTTCAAGTGATTCTCCTGCCTCAGCCTTCTGAGTAGCTGGGATTACAGGCACACACCCCTGCGCCCAGCCAATTTTTGTATTTTTAGTAGAGATGGAGTTTCACCATGTTGGTCAGGCTGGTCTCAAACTCCTGACCTCGTGATCTGCCTGCCCCCGCCTCCCAAAGTGCTGGGGTTACAGGCGTGAGCCACCGACCCTGGTCAATCTCTGACTTCTTTAAGCAATGTTTTGTAATTCTTGTCATAGGGATCTTTCACCATTCTGATTAGCTATATTCGTAGATATTCTATTCTTTTTGTGGCAGTTGTGAATGGGATAATGTTTTTGATTTGGCTTTTGGCTTGAATGTTTTGATGTACAGAGATTCTACTGATTTTTGTACATGTATTTAATATCCTGAAACTTGGCTAAAGTTGTTTATCAGTTTAAAGAGCTTTCCTGCTGAGACTATAGGGTTTTGAAGATACAGAATCATGTCATCTGCACACAGGGATGGTTAGACTTCCTTTCTTCCTGTTTGGATGCCTTTTCTTTTCTTTTTTTTTTTTTTTTTTGAGACAGAGTCCTGCTCTCACCACCCTGGAGTGTAGTGGCATGATCTCGGCTCACTGCAACCTCCGCCTCCCACCTGGGTTCAAGTGATTCTCCTGCCTCAACCTCCTGAGTATCTGGGACTACAAGCGCACGCCACCATGCCTAGCTAATTTTTGTATTTGTAGTAGGGACGAGGTTTCACCATGTTGGCCAGGATGGTCTCGATCTCTTGACCTTGTGATCCGCCCACCTCGGCCTCCCAAAGTGCTGGGATTACAGGTGTGAGCCACCATGCCCGGCGAATGCCTTTTATTTTCATCTCTTCTCTGATGACTCTGGCCAGGATTTCCAATTTTATGTTGAATAGGAGTTTTGAGAGAAGGCATCCTTATCTTGTGCCAGTTTTCAAGGAGGAATGCTTCCAGCTTGTGTCCAGTCAGTATGTTGGCTGTAAGTTTGTCATAGATATCTCATTATTTTGAAGTATGTACCTTCAATGTCTGGTTTGTTGAGGGTTTTAAACATGAAAAATGTTAAATTATATTGAAAGTGTTTTTAGCATCTATTGAGATCATCTTTTGGTATTTGTTATTAGTTCTCTTTGTGTGATGAATAACATTTATTGATTGTATGTTGAACCAGCTTGCATCCCAGAGATGCAGCATACTTGATTATAGTGGATTAGCTTTTTGATGTTCTTCTGAATTCAGTTTGCCAGTATTTTGTTGAGGATATTTTCATCAATGTTCATCAAGGATATTGGCCTGAAGTTTTCTATCTTTTGTTTGGTCTCTGCCAGGTTTTGATATCAGAATGATGTTATTCTTACATATAATGAGTTGAAAAGGAGTCCTTTCTTTTCAATATTTTGAAATATTTTTAGTAGAAGTGGTACTAGCTCTTTTTTATACAACTGGTAGACTTCAGCTAGGAATTTGTCTGGTTCTTGGTTTTTCTTTTTTTTTTTTTTTTTTGTTAGTAGGCTATTTATTACTAATTCAATTTTGGAGCTTGTTGGTCTATTCAGGGATTCAGTTTCTTATTTGTTGAGTCTTTGGAAAATGTGTCTTTGCTCCCAGGTTACTATTCTCAAGCTTGGCCCAAATAAACTCTCTTATATTCATGTTGCCTCCACTTTTTCCTTTTAGGTAGTCATATTACGTAGAATGAGCTAGAGCAGCCTCTATGAGGGGATCTCTCCTTTGATTATACTCCACTTGCTGTAACACCCAAGAATGCAAGAGTGTGGTTGATCCTACCTAGAATCTGCACATAAGGTCTGGCCTCTTCCTGGGATTTACAGGACAGGGTCAGACTTTAGATTGAGAATATACAGAAAACCAACAGGAGGCATTTTCTCCATTGTGAGTTGTCAACATAGACATCTTAAAGCCCCCTTTGAGAGTGTGGTTCTTAAAACTTTTCAGATCTTGTTCAGTGATTTATCACAGTCCTGCGAGAGGCTCCAGATATAAATAGAATCTGATGACAGAATCAGCATTTTAAGAGTGAGATATCAAAGTCATAATGTATCCATAGCCATGACCACAACTATACCTACCTATAAAATATGATACTGGAGTACAGTATTCTTGTCCTTCCCCTTACCCAAAAGCTAGCAATTTGGGACAAGTGATTAGGTTCTGAAACTCCACCAGGCCATTTTCTATTTAGAATCAGCCTGAATCTCTCCAGCCTGGATTATCATTGGGCCATCAGCCAGGGTCACTAAGAAACCTCTCACAATCACCTAGGCGTCTTTGAGACATTTGAGGATGTCTAGGGCAGAATTGTGTCAGGCTGACAAGAGTGGTTAATTCTGCTTCTGGCTTAGTGTAAGAAAAATGAGTCATTCTGTGTGTGTGTGTGTGTGTGTGTGTGTTTTGTTTTTTTCTTTTTTTTAGATGGAGTATTGCTCTGTTGCCTAGGCTGGAGTGCAGTGGTGTGATCTCAGCTTACTGCAGCATCTGCCTCCCGGGTTCAAGTGACTCTTCTGCCTCAGCCCCCCAAATAGCTGGGAATACAGGCACTTGCCACCACACATGGCTAATTTTTGCATTTTTAGTAGAGACAGGGTTTCATCATATTGCACAGGCTGGTCTTGAACTCCTGACCTTGTGATCTCCCTGCCTCAGCCTCACAAAGTGCTGGGATCACAGGCGTAAGCCACCACACCCGGCAATTCTGTGTTTTTTTTCTCCCCTCATACAAGAGATAACTTTGGTTGGTCCCTAGATGAGAGTTTCTCAAGTTTCCGGGTACTTGGATGAAAGCAATAGGTCTGGTGACTCAAACAGATAAAGTAATTGTTTTCATTTTATATGGCCATTCAAAAAACAGATGAAGCAGTCATGGTCCCTACTATCCAGAAACATTTTGTCTAGACTAACAACTGGATACATGTGTGAATTAAGCATTATATGGTTGATACAATGAATAGATGTGTCCAAAAGAAATTTGGGCCACTCTTTTATATTGTTACTTCTGATATCATCACCTGAAGGGATATTTATGGAGTGAAGATTTGTTATTATTTGTGTTTTTGTTACTTTGCTAAGAATATGTATTTATCTTCTAATATAATTATTCTAAAGAACTTTAAGAAATTTGTTTAAATTGCTTATTAGTATATGTTATAAAATTGACAGGGCAGTGGCAAAAATGGATTAAAGTTACATAAGCTCTAGGATTTAAGATTCTCGTAGGTAAGCTTAGGAAAAACAGAACTGGAAATACCTTGGTGGCAGAGAAAACAGAATTCTACATAGGGTCCTTTCCCTGCCCAAATTCTGTTCAGATTCATCCTTTGTGGAGGCCTTATTTATGTCTGGCCCCACTCCGGAGCCTTGCCTCACAAAACTGATTTATAAAAATCAGAGTTTTGGCCGGGTGTGGTGGCTCACACCTGTAATCCCAGCACTTTGGGAGGCCGAGGCAGGCAGATCACGAGGTTGGGTGTTCGAGACCAGCCTGACTAACATGGTGAAACTTCGTCTCTACTAAAAATACAAAACTTAGCTGGGCGTGGTGGCACATGCCTGTAATACCAGCTGCTCAGGAGGCTGAGGCAGGAGAATCACTTGAACCCGGGAGGTGGAGGTTGCAGTGAGCCAAGATTGTGCCACTGTACTCCAGCCTGGCGACAGAGCGAGACT